ACAGGCCCAAGGCAGGGCAGGAGAGGGGCACTGCTCTCACACCAACACGCTCAGTCTCTTGGGAAGAACCAGGTCTGGCAGGTCTTTGTGCAACCCACTCATTCCCGGGATGTCCTCATTCGGCTCTCTGACCTTTCATCTGCTCTTGATCAGATACACGCTGAGTACAGCATTACTTCATTAGCTTACAAGCTATTGCATCATTTAGGGCGATTCAATCCCAGGAAATGATGATTAGTAATTTTAAGAATTAATTTCAGGTATCTTCTGAGTTACAAACAGACATTATCTCTTTATTCAGAAGAAGAGTCTACAAATAGCAGATTTCTTGTCCAGAAGTCACACAGCGATACCAGTAGACACTTGCTAACAATATTTTAATGTTAGCAAAGGACAAATCACTATAGTTTTCACTTATCCCCCATAACACGGTCAGTAATACTTCACGCTGCCCTTCAGCTTCATGGTCTCTATTAAAACCACTGTATTAACTCAAGTGAGGCAGGACAATTCTTCCCCAAAACACAGATTCTTGTAACCAGCTGCTAAACATGCCATGCTGCTGCATCACCTCCAGGATATTATTTGCTTAGCAAGACAGAAAAAGCGTCCCACGCTGCTGCAGAACCTGTATGTTTTACATAGCAACATGATGTAATTTTATCATGAACAATGAGGTCAGATGATCCGCTTAGGTCATACACCAGACCTACACTAATTTGCGGTATTACGAGGCCTGCTTTACAACACGTTAAAACACCTGGGGTAAAAGGAGTATTTGCCCATCAGTAAGCTGGGAGCCTGTGGGCTGCATCTACGGGATTCAAAAAATGAAGAACTAATGTAGCTAGCACTAGACTTAGGTTTACCAGAAAAGTTTTTGAACCCTAAAAAGTTAGAGAAAAAACAAATAAATTAAAACTTAGCCACAGCCTAAAGCACTAGTATTCTCAGGACAATATATTAAGTCTTGATACATAACAATCTTAAAAAAAAAAAAAAAGCATATCCAGAACAAAACTAGCTGTGTTGGCTCCACCGGAGCATCCAGGAGGTGTTGACGTTGCCAGGGCAGGGCAGACGGGACCTGGTTCTTCAGCAGACAGACCACCACAGAGTGAGGATGCAACAATTAATTGCAAAACCTGAGCTCTCACCAAAATTGTTTTTGGTGTCCAACATGGGAAAACCAGTCTCCTCCTTACTCTGAAGCCTCTCTGAAACCAGGTAAAGATGCCGAGACTGAATAGTTTACTGTCAGCCTCACCCGCCCCGCTCCTGCCAGCCTGACCTTGATGGGTACAAGCGTTAGATAAGATCAGTGGGAGGTGTTCAGAAGTGGTGTTTGTCCTGTCCCAAGTAAGGTAATATAATGGGTCAGGTCATGGCCCACTTCTCCTCTTCTGATACTGCAATTAGTAGGGTTACCTTGTATTTTCCTCTCGCATACCTGTTTCTCATGAGAAATGTATCCTCTGCTTTCTTCCTGCATTTTGTATGGAAGTTTCTTTCATGCCTTGGCATTTGTCTGACACACATGGGCTGATTCTTGCTGAAGGGTATGTACTCTTTCCTATTTACAGGTCTCCTCTGAGATAAACAATGCCAACAGAACTCTAGTTTGTGACTATATTCAAGTTTGGGTAAAACCAATTTCTCAAATTAATTCCAAGAGTGAAGTCCAGATGCTTTTTGGTAAGGTTTGGGTTTTTCTCTTGCAGCAGCTGCGGAGTGGATTTTTTGAACGGTTGTATTAAGTTTCATAGCAGGGAAAACCATTTTATTGCCAAGTGGTTGTTACCATGATCTCTACTGAGAGAAGGATATTGGAGGGGAGAGTGAGTCCAAATTTACTGTTTATTTCAGTGTCTGGTGTCTTTCAATGCATAATGTTTTCATTATTCTGAGTAAATGCTGCTGCTTTAAGTAGCAGGAGAAAAGCAACATAAACACCTCAAACCACAATGTATTCTGAACTGGGGCTTTTTAGCTTTTAAAAACAACAGACAGTCATCATGGAATAGCTTTGTATTTGAATGTCTATTGGACTGACAAGCCTAAGTTAAGAGGAGAGTATCTCCTAGCTTACATGGAAGTAACAGGTTATGTGAATGTGCAAAGCGTGGTTTAGGCATGACACCCTCCAAATTCTCTCCTGCCTAGGGCCGGCGCGGGCAGGCGGTGTGGGGGCCGGTGTGTGCAGGGGCCGTTACCTGAAGGGAATACGGTGTGTAGGGATGGGACCATTCCTCCAGGGAGATACGGAATGGGGACACCGGTACGAGGCTGTTCCCCAAAGGGGGATGTGGTGTGTGGTGAGGGCTGTTCTCTGGGGGCTGTGGTGTGAGGACGGGGCTGTCCCTGAGGGGACATGATGTGGGGACAGAGCCGTCCCTGACGTGATGTGGTGTGGGGACAGGGCTGTCTCTGAGGGGACATGGTGTGGGGACAGGGCCATCCCTGAGGTGACGTCGTGTGGGGACAGGGCTGTCCCTGAAGGGACATGGTGTGGGGACGGAGCCATTTCCCAGAGGATGTAATGTGAGGATAGGGTTGTCCCTGAGAATATGGGGACAAGGCTGCTCCACAAAGAGGGTATGGTATCAGGTCAAAGCTGTTCCTCAAAGGGAGATATGGTTTGAGCAGAGGACTGCTTCTTGGGGAGTTGAGGATGAAGTAGTTGGGGTTCAGCTGCTTCTCAGTGTTGCTGTTGACCACAGATATGGGAACACCAGCGATATCGGCAGGGATTGTACCGGTGGGGACATGACATGGGACGAACATAATGCTGTTCCTGCAAGTGAGATGTTGGGCAGGGTAGTGCAGTAACATCAATTCCTACTCTGGTGTCCCATGCCTGGATCCTAGCAGCACAAAGGGGATTTTGTAGAGATTATTTGGTTTCCACCCTCTTAGATGCATCCCTACATAGATGCATAGTTGCCACATTACTGGGAAGTAACTAATTACCGTTTTCTGATGGTGGTAGAGGGGTAGTTTCATAGGGTGAATCAGTAGGAAAAGAATTCCAGAGTCCTGCTGTTGTGTTTATGCATCCTCAGTGCTTTAGGACATAGTCCTCTCAGCTGACGTGATTGCTTTACATTTGTGATTAATGTTTGTTTGTTTTCCTGACCAGGCCTAAACAAAGTCTACAACATGTTTATGTCGTTCTGCTTTGTTCAGGTCACCACAGACAGCAGCATAGTGTCTGTATAGTATCTTAGACAAATATAGGGAAAGCCTTCTATTTTTAAATATGAAAAATTTGGGCAGAGATCCAGATGCAGCCCTCATGTAATAGTAATAATATTATCTGACTGAGTTGTTGGGATGTACATATATCCTGAGCTAATATAATGGTAGGATTGGCAGGAAGTAAAACCTCAAAGAAGGTGGGATTTGATCCTATTAGGTGATTTGCTACAAGCATTGCAAAAGCCATTAGCTCTGATGTCTAACTGCACCCTGCTGGTGGGCCTGACTGACAAGTTTCCCCAGAAGTGATTCAGGAGTGATTCAGAGATTAAGGTGTAGTTAACTGAAAGACACTTGTTTATAGTGTATATTAACTGACATTGGCTGAACTGGTTAATGATCTGTCCTGATCTAATCTTTCTCCCTGGAATTAAAAGTAAATATGCGATCCTTTAACTATTTTAAAATTACTTTTGTCATGTGTTTTGTTCTTACATTTGGTGGGTTTTTTTAACTTTGATAATATATTGTATCAAAAGATTATATAGACTGCACTCATGGAGGAATAAAACGTATTTCCCAAAGGGTACTGAGCTGTGCTAGGCCTGTGCAGGTGAGCCAAGTCCAAGGGTGGGATGACACCACAGTTTTTCTCTTAGCAAATGAGAGAATGGAGATCTTAGGGCTTGAGAACGTTTTTCCAGGGAGTGCAGGAAGGAGTTAGGAATGTAACTCCTTCTGTGGTTGGATTAGTGGGAGGCATAACACCTCAACAAATGTTGCAGACCTAGTGAGGGAACTTATGAAATGCAGAGATAAGCAATGGAATCCATGTATGTGAATGCAAAAGAAGCAAGTGGGGAATAAGGACTGTGAACCACTAGAGAAAAGTACATAAGGCAACAAAAGAAATCTGGGAAAAGTATTGGCAAAAATACATGAAGCTCAGAAAGTACTAAGAAAATCCATAAGATGAAGAAGGAAAACAAAACTAGGAAAAATACTTTCTTTCTCCAGGACTATAGGAATAGTCACTTATTTCCTGAACAGGAAAGATGAAACCATATTAGCAATATTTTATGCATCAGTTTAGTATGCACACTTCTGCTTATATACATATATATATATGTATTTTTTTTCCCCTGATGTAGAATTAATGATGTTAATCATGGCTGCTATAGAGTAATTAAGAGCTAATACTCCAGGCTAAGTGTTAGAAAACAGGGAAATAAACCAGCTTGGATGAGACTGCTGTGCTAGAATGGAATGAAGACAGTCAAGAAAGTCAACAGTGTCACAGTTCTGCTCTGAATTCTCAGGGAGGCATAGGGTTACTTTCTGTTTAAAATTACTCAGTAGATAAACCATTATCAGGTGAAAAAATAAGGGAAGAAGGACCCTTCAATATTCTGTAGAGAGATATGTTCAGTAGTTTGGACAATTAACTTAGCTTTAGATATCATCTTTGTAAGACAGATGTAAGTCTTGCCTCTCTCCCAAAGGCATTTTGGTGCCTTTTGAAAAAGGAGAAGCACAATTTCTTTCAAAAGCAAAGGCTTACAATTCTTCCTATGTCTGTTCATAACAAAGCAGAAAATGCACAGATATTTTCCGTCTGTGGGTGGGAATAAGACACTGTCCCTTTCTCCTTTGCATACAAGGATATACCATCCTCTGACAATTTGTTTTTTTCTTAAATCTTCGTTTATTCTTGTTGATGCCTAAAACCCCTTTGTTATCTTCCAGAAGCTTTGGTCATCACTGTGGAATTCCTGGTATGAGAAGGCAGAGCTCAGGATAGAGAGAGGATCCTTGCTGAACTGCTGTAATCATGAAGGCAGTGACTTTAATTGTGCTAATCATCTTCACTTTGCTGTCTTCAGGTAAGGCTGATGCAGAGAGGGAAAGAAAAATGTGACTTCTGGATAGGTTACCAGGATACAAACTCTAATGTATGCTTTGATTTTGTTTTCTTCTCTGCAAAGAAGTTGCGGTTAGAACTGTGTCTGTGATTTCCATTTGCCTGTATTTTTCCTGTTTGATCGTTGGCAGATGGTGACCCTGTTAGTTTTGAGGCAGCTTGATACACTAGTTTCTTAGCAATTCAGTGAAGGTTTGTTTTCTTTGAATGGTTGCAATCTGTGTACTCATTACCACTGTCAAAATTAATCAGTGTATTTCAAGCTACTCCCATCTAAAATCGCAACGGGTTCTTTTTTGGAATTGCACTGAGTTAACGTCAAAACAAGTAGAGTACTAATGTGATGCTATGCTTAAAAAAATAAAAACTTTCATGTTTTAATTGTAAATATTATTTATTCCAGGCAGTATATATATATTTTTAGTATTAATAGATTGCCAGAGAGCCAAACACTTAAACATCTGGAAATTACAATGCTAGAGATGTTGTAGTGTTTTCTGTGCATTCAGTCCTGGTTTTCATTACATGGTATAAGATTCTCTCAAGTTACATAACCACATGCTGTTTTTATATATGGTAATCACTTTGTTTTCTCCTTAAACACATAGTATCTTCTAGACATGTATATGATGATACACTTCAGAGTAGAAGGCATTTAATAGGAAGAATACAAAATAAGTCATTGTATATCCAAGATGGAATTATTGGAGCCTAAAGCAAAAGAGCAAATTTTGTTGACATGTCTGGACTACTTAGGATGTAGCTTCCTAGTCAGTTTAAATCAACCAAACCCCAGATTTCCCCTGGAAAAGGAGGTTTCACCTTCTCCTCCACTTCTAATCGCATCTTCAATCTTTCTGCTGGCACTGTTTTGTTTTGGTTTTTATTGGTTACTTAGTTTTCAGCTGGAAAAAGATCTGACAACTGAATGGTTCATTTCTGCTACAAATTTATAGAGTGTTCCTGTGTAGTTTATGTAATTTCTTTCTTTGGCATCCAGAAATGGAGATAATTCTTACTAACTTCCTGCTTGGAAGAGGTAGGATTGTGAGGATTTTGTTGTTAACATTTATTCAATACTCTGTTCAACATAGTATATGATTCTTCATTGTCAATAACCAAATTGTCCCTAGTTTTTGTCTTTCATGGTAAGTGTTGTCATGGAAGATAACCCTCTCTGTCTTGAGGGAAATGCAAGTTACTTGTCATTGCTGAGGCATCATTTAGATAGTACATTGTTTAAAACCAGAAGAAGGTCCAAGTCACAGAATTGGCATTGTCATTTCAAATAGTCCCAGGTCCTCACTTCCTGCATTGAGGCGTTTGGTTATTTGGTCTATTATAAAGTAGCATTTAATTGTGAACTTAAAATTTTAATACTTCTCATACTTCTGATCTAAGGTTTTTTGACCCTGGAGCTCTGGTGTTGGTCTTACTATTGAAAATCAGGTAATCCTTGTCCGGAAAGAAAATGGGGAGAAAATACTGTTCTAACAAAGCATGGAGCTCAGTGGGAAATGCTCTTCTAACAAAGCATGTGGCTCAGTGCTGTGAGACAGCTAGGACTTGGAACACCAGGTATTGTCTGTTCAAAAAACAGCAATCCCCTCTCAAAAGACTAAATTCAACAAAGCTAAAGCAACTTGATCCCCTACCAACATCCTCCCTCCATGCTTCTTGTTCTTTTGCAGGCTTGGTTCCGACTTTCTAGAACTCTGTAACAAAAATATTAAGAATGCTATGGATAAATGCTATGGATAAATTATGCACGAGAATATGTGCTTTCCTCTGGAAAGCACGAGAGGAAACAGCAGAGCAAAGGTTAAAAGAATGGCCTGTATTGATAACCAAGGACACAATTCACAGCAGTAAAACTGATAAACCCTGGGGAATGTATTGTTTACATCAATAGTAGAAGGTCTGTGCTCTGATAAGGTCACATCACAGCTGTTTTTTTAAAGAGAAAAACTGAAGTCTGATAACAGGAAGATGGTAACAAGGTTACCCTACGTTGTAAGTGCCATTCCTCCTCTTGCTATCCCGACAGGAAAACAAACCATAGTCATAAAGATGTCCTTGCCTTTGTTTCCTCATTTTGGGGGGCAACCTTGCCTAAGATTCATGGAGGATGAAGCAAGTAAGATTCTGAGGCAAAAGGTTGTGCCATAATAATTGTTGGTTCTTGAAAAAATCTACCTAAAAGCTAGTTTGCTGCTGCCAGTCAAGAGGAAGCAAAGAGATATATTAAAGCCTTAACAAACATTCATTGTCCTCCATGTTGGGCAAAGGTGGTCTTGGTCAGACTGCTTGGGCACATCTCTTGGGTGCCTGTAAATATGTGGATACGTGAGTGTGAGTGAGCAGAATCAACTTACTTCTGAAGTTAAATAAAAGAAAATAGCCTCCCTCTTCCATAAGGTCTTAAACTGAGGGGTTTTTTTACTAAATCCTACAAATCTTGACTTTTTTTTTGATCATACAGGGAAGAAATTCCGATGGTGCACCCTTTCTGACCTAGAACAGAGAAAGTGTGCTGAACTGTCCAAAGCACTTATGGCTGTGCTGCCCCTTGCTACTGTCAATTCATTTGCAAGGATTTCTTGCATCAGAGCCCACAATACATATGACTGCATTGATAAAATCAGGGTAAGTTCACGGAGACTTTTAAAATTGATTTTGAGTCCAAATTCTCTTTTTAAGAAGTAACTGGTAAACTGAATCCATGGGAGAATAAAATAATACTGAAATGATGTTATTTCATATATGACAAAGTATATGGTAGCTTGAGAGGCAATAATTAAAACCTGTGAGCATTCTACCAGATGTACTATTTTATTCTAGCGAATGCCCTTGCAATGTCCAGGAAAAGAGTAAAAAGCTGCTTGGAAATAAACGGACAAAACCACTATTAAATTAAAACTTGCTCAAAGCATTCCCATTGTGTGTGGGTTTTCATCCTACTCTGACTATAAGTAATATTTTCTCATCCCTTTCTTCCCTACTATTTTTAGTCCCTAGTCAATCTTTTCTGAAATAAAAGAGCAAAGCTTTTTTTCATATAAAAATGTTTCATTTCAATAAGACATCAGACCATTTGTAAATGTAAGCTCTATGCCAGTTCTGAAATTACATTTTCATAATGCTGTATGCTTTGAAAAAAATTGCTAATGAACCAGGAAGATAAGCATTTGCTGTAGAATAATCACATTGACATACCTAAAACTTGGTTGAGACAGAGAATTTCTGTTTCCATTTTCATTCAGTCCTGGTTGCCTTCAATAGGTCCAAATCTGACCTGGAAAACAAAACAAAGAAAACTTTTCTTGTTGATTCAGGGAATAATTAATTTCATCTTTTCATTCAGTCCTGCAATCTTTGTTAATAGACTTCAGTTCCATTTTCTGTGTGGTTATGGAAAGATTACAGCCACAACTCTTAGAAAGATTTGAGGTCTTGGTGGGGAGCAGTAGGAAGAAATAGGGATTGCCATTTTCTTCAGCTGGCAACAGAATTCTGGTTTTGGAATGGAAGGACCAAAGAAAGGTGAGAAAGGATACTGGAAAAGAAGAGGTATTTTTTTGAAGGTAACTTAGCCTTTATTGCTACCATTTCACTATGCTTAGCAGCAGAGATTCAATTAAAAACAAAGCAAATGCTTGTAAAAGCCACTGGTTACAATCTCTCAGGCAGAAACTCTGCTGTGTTTGTTTCCCTGTAAACACACTTGTTTTGAGGGTTTTGCTGTTGTTTTTAAGGCGAATAAAGCAGATGCTGCCTCCTTGGATGCTGGGGATGTTTACTCTGCTGTAAAGCTGTATGGTTTGACAGCAGTGGCAAAGGAGATCTATGAACAAGGTAGGTTCATAAAGCAAAAGAATAAGCTGTTCTTCCGATTTGGCTAATACGTTGCTGTGCAATGAAAGGCAAAGCTCAAGAATTCTTGAAAAAAGTCTATACATTTTCATTAACTTTGTAGGAGTATGGAGGTGACTAACAACCATTTCTAAAATGCTTAGTGATGAACAAAATACCAGTGGTGCTTTCTATCTAGGAGCCTTTCTGTCTGTGTCACTGTGACAAAATGTCTGCATCTACCCCTGCCCGCGGCACTAGTGTACTGGAGTTCTACATCTTGCAGGGAATAAGAAGAGTTTTATTCCGTCTGTGTCAATTCTTATACCACGCTCTACTGGTTGTACTACTGTAACTGAACATTTACTAGTGGTTCCTTAAGAGATTAGCTGCTCTCCTGAATTAATTCTCTCATTCTCACCCTAAGGAGACAAGAATATAAGGTGGAGAATCTTGTTATGTTAAGATTCCTCTTCATTCATGGCAGACCTGGACAGTCTGTGCAATGAATGATTTCTAGGGCAAGAATAAATAAGTCTGAGCCAAAATCAAGCATACAGTAGAAAATACTTGTGGGACGTGAATCTGAGAAGAAAGCCAGATTAGCAGATGGATGTAGGAAGAGACTAATAAGGGAACAGTATAAGAACAGAAGTGAATTTTGTTTTGTCTGAAGAACCATGAAATGATAGTCAAATCGAGGTGTTTCAGCTGGTAAGTATGTTCTGAGGATAACACATAGGAGCTCTTTCCATTACAATACGTAACCAGTGTGATACAAATGTTCAAAATTCTTGAGAAGCAATTGCATTGGGTGATGGAGCTGGATGGTCTTGTAAGCCTTTTCCACCAGATTTTTATGTTCTTGCTTTGCACATCACTTGCATTGCTCAATTTGACGAGGTGCCACGTAGCCACTATATGGTAAAGTTTCTGGCATGGTTCATATGCCTGAGATTTATTGTTTTTTCCTTAGCCATGTTCACAGAAGTAGTTGAACTCCTGTTCACAGATGGAAGCTGCAGAATTGGGATTCAGTTATTTCTGTTACATATTTTGTCCTGTCACAGGACATTGTGTGTTTGCTGTGGCCATTGCCAAACGAGGAACTCTGGTTATCCAGAGGCTACGAGGTGTACGCAGCTGCCACAATGGAGCCAGATGGACATCAGGCTGGAATATTCCATTTGGCTTTCTCCTTGCAAGAAATGATCTTTCCTGGGATGAGGCACAACCTCTGAGCCAAGGTGGGTGATAGGAGCCATAGGGTTATGTCTCTGCCCTCAGCAAAAATGACTGAAATGCAAGCAGATGTAGAACGAACTGAGCCATGTGGAAACTGAAGGGCTTTGTGGGTGAGATATTCTCTTCCAGTGTTTCTGATAGCTCTTAGCTCTCTTCAGTACTTTTCTAGTGATCTCAAAGCAGCAAAATTGTTACCCAAACAGGAAATCTTTGTGTTCTGTGTGCAACAGGGAACAAATCTTTGCAATATCTAGCCAGCACAAGGATGGTTTCAACCAAGTAAAATTTGATCACTGTTTCCAGCAAATGCATCAAATCTGAAGGTTAGACAATAAAGCTGCATTTGCTGATCCACTTACTTATTTTTTTAAAGCACCACAGTCCTAGTTATGCCCATGATATATTTGGCCCCTTTTCTTTCTTTCATTTTCTCCCATTTGACTTTTTTCTTTCTTTTTGTTTCCTCCCCCCCGCATCTGCAGTAATCAGTGAGTATTTCAACGCAAGTTGCATCCCTGGGGTTGGTGTTGCTGCTCCTCGACTGTGCGCTCTCTGCCAAGGACAAAAGTCCTATGTCAGAGACAAGAACCACTTCTGTGAGACAAGCAGTAGCGAACCCTTCTATGACTCTGAGGGAGCCTTCAGGTGAGCTCTGTGACACTTGTACTGAATTTACTTTTGGGGAAAAATGACTTGTGAGGGAGGAGAAGCCAGGTGACAAGTTAATAGGATGGCATTTGTCTTCCTGCAGGTGCTTGAAGAATGGCGTGGCAGATGTTGCCTTTTTAGATCATCTAACAATTATGAGTGCCACAGGTAGTGCTAAATACTCAGATTCCTTTTAACCTCTGGCTGTGCTTTCCTGCATGGGAGTTTGGGCGATAGGCCTTTTTTTGTTGTTGTTTCCAGGGAAAATTCAATCCCTGCAAGCGGTTCTGGGGTATTTCTTGGCTCCCCACACAAGTCAGAAGGAAACAGAAAAGGAAAGAATAAGGGAGCAGTAATTGCTCACTGGAGATTCTTAAAATGGGAGCAGACAGATATTTTTATACAGGTGATGCTTTTAGCCTGAAGTCTCTGATGCAGCTGTCAGTATTTGCATTGCCTGAGTTATACGATAAAGTCAGTGTATTGAGCTGCTAGAATGTGCAGTTCCCGTATACCTGTTGTGTATTTTTAAACTCAGTCGAGCTCTGTATTGACGTTTTTGAAGGTGGTTATCAGTAGTATTTGTGGGTAAATACTTTTAAACAAACATATTTACAGAGATACAGTTTAAAGAGTATTTTGGAGTACCTCTGGCTGAGGTCCCTCTCTTTGTTGAGAGAAGAGCGTATCAAAGACAACTTTCCCAAGTGTGCTTGGTACACTGTGCTGCTTGAATAATCTTTGAGCAACCTCCTCTGAAAAATGTTTTGCCTTCCATCTCTGTGCCTGCTGCCACGTCATGTCTCTTGCTGCCACGTCATGTCTCTTGCTGCCACGAGTGTCTTCTTGTTTCAGAGGCAGAACAACAGGAATATGAACTCTTATGTCCTGATGGGACTACAGCTGAGCTGACTGAATACGGCACCTGTAACTTGGGCAAGGGGCCTGGCCGTGGCATCATCACCCGCCACAACTTCCAGAAGATCACCAACAAATTTCTTACCATGATCCAAGTGAGTGGATATTATCATCTGTGTATCTCCAGACACAGGCTTTTCGGCCACCTTTGTGTGGAGATTTCCACCCAGTTTACCTTCTTTCTTGAGAAATGTTTAGGTACTGTGAAAAGGGACTAAAAATTGGTTGTTCTGGGGAAGGATCCTGCGTTGGCTTCTGGAAGAAGGTTTTACTTCTCTCTCAAGGGTTCTTCTGTAGAAGGCTAGCAATAAATAAGTAAAGACAGAGAAGATAGCCATTTTCCAGCTTGGGTGTTATGGCAATGGTGTTTGTCCTGCCCTGGAACTTACGTGAATTCTTATGTAGCTGAGGGAGACACATAGGTTCAGGCAGGGTTCACCTTTGTTACTCTCTTTTTCTCAACTTAGAAGTAGTATCTGCTGCCTTGGCATCCAGGAATCTACTTGAAGTTCAACCTGAGGTGCATATTTAAATACAAATTTAAAGAATTTATGAAGCCGTCCAGCAGACAGTGAAAAATTCAACCCAGTGGGCTTTGTGCTGTCATGTGGATTCTGGCAGACAGCAGTTGTACAAAATCTCTTCTTTATTGAGAGATCTTCATATGCCTTTGTCAGTGGACTTATTAACACATATTTTAGCTGGGTTCCCCCACACATAGCGATGGCTATGCAGCAGCGTTCCTAGTATACTTCTCAGTGCTTTCTTCTCTTCCAGTACCACCAGGCTGAACAAAGCTACTTTGCACATGGTACTTCCCCATCATAAAGCATAAGCTATCTTGCACTCCTTTACCTCACTGATCTTTATCACAAATGTTTCTCACTCAACTATACTCCCTCAGTTGCCTTTCCAGGGTAGAAGACATTGAGCACAGCCTAATAAATTGGAATAACTAAGATGGGGAAAAAATGATTCAAAAAAGTGAATGCTGTAATACTTTTAGGACTGGAACCATCCACTCACTGCAGTACCCGTGGGCTTTGTCCCCGTGTGATGGGACCCTGAGTGCTGTTACAAACCATTGATATGAAGGGAGGGGAGGATGAGGCTGCCTGTTACTGGAAGGATGAGCAGATTTGTTGCAATTAAAAGTGTTGTTCTTATCCTAGCGCCTCTTTGGGCGAAAAGGAAAGGAAAGAGCCAGGTTTGAACTCTTCACTTCAGCACCCTTCGGGGGAAAGAACCTGCTGTTCCGAGATGCCACTCAACACCTGCAGCTTCTTGAGGAGCAGCTAGAGATTGCCTATGTCCTTGGTCTGGATTATGTAGCTCTCCTTAAGGGTCTTGGCCATGAAGGTGAGAAGCCTTCCAGAGGACTGTAGCTCAGGAAAGGGAAGAAAGTTCTCTCTCCATGTTATTCCCCCTTGCCAGGCACAAGTGCACAGACCTAAACATCCCCTTAGCAAAGAACAGATTGGTGCATACGTGATCTGATCTCACTGTGCTCCTTCTTTCTAATGCAGGGAGCTCTTTGGACAACAGTGTTGTGCGCTGGTGCTGCATCAGTGATGCTGAGCTTCGCAAATGTGAGGAGTGGGCACTGAGCATCAAATCCGACCCACTAGTCTGTGTCCAAGCAACTTCCATGACCAAATGCATTGAAATGATCAAGGTAGGAGTCTCTCTCTGGTAAGAGTATATGTTAAATGATACAGGGTGTGTATGGCCTTGTCTGAGCTGAACAAGAGGAAAACCAGCTTGTACACTAGAGGAACCAGTGGGAATGAGAGGGAATTTATGCAGGGGAATTTCCAACCAGCAGGGAAGTACAGCTGTTTGGTTACACAGTTCATGCAAATCCAGTTTTTGTTATTTTCTATAATGCTGTTGACAGAGTAGTGAGGCTGATGCTGTCACCCTGGATGCAACACATGTCTACATTGCAGGGAGATGTGGACTGGTGCCTGTAGCTGCAGAATGTTATGGTAAGTCCTCATGTGACCTTAGCATAAAGAGGGAATCAGAAAAGTACCGTTAAAA